AAACGTAGTCGTAGTAGCAGTAGTAGTAGCAGTAGTAGTAGTAGTAGTAGCAGTGGTAGTAGTGGGAGTAGTAGTAGTAGTAGTAGAAGTAGTAGTAGTAGTAGCAGTAGTAATAGCAGTAGTCGCCGTAGTAGTATTAGTTGTCGTAGTAGTAGTCGTAGTCGTAGTGTCAGTAGTAGTAGTAGTAGTAGCAGTAGTAGAAGTAGAAGTAGCAGTCGTAGTCGTAGTAGTAGTAGTAGTAGTAGTAGTAGCAGTACTAGTCATATAATTAATGGTCGTAGTAATACTCGTAATACTAATCGTAGTAGTAGTAGTAGTAGTAGTAGTCGTAGTAGTAGTAGTAGTAGTAGAGTAGCAGTAGCAGTAGTAGTAGTAGTAGTAGTAGTAGTAGTAGTAGTAGTAGTAGTAGTAGTAGCAGTAGTAGTAGTAGTAGTAGTAGTAAGTAGTAGTAGTAGTAGTAGTAGTAGTAGTAGTAGTAGTAGTAGTAGTAGTAGTAGTAGTAGTAGTAGTAGTAGTAGTAGTAGTAGTAGTAGTAGTAGTAGTAGTAGTAGTAGTAGTAGTAGTAGTAGTAGTAGTAGTAGTAGTAGTAGTAGTAGTAGTAGTAGTAGTAGTAGTAGTAAGTAGTAGTAGTAGTAGTAGTAGTAGTAGTAGTAGTAGTAGTAGTAGTAGTAGTAGTAGTAGTAGTAGTAGTAGTAGTAGTAGTAGTAGTAGTAGTAGTAGTAGTAGTAGTAGTAGTAGTAGTAGTAGTAGTAGTAGTAGTAGTAGTAGTAGTAGTAGTAGTAGTAGTAGTAGTAGTAGTAGTAGTAGTAGTAGTAGTAGTAGTAGTAGTAGTAGTAGTAGTAGTAGTAGTAGTAGTAGTAGTAGTAGTAGTAGTAGTAGTAGTAGTAGTAGTAGTAGTAGTAGTAGTAGTAGTAGTAGTAGTAGTAGTAGTAGTAGTAGTAGTAGTAGTAGTAGTAGTAGTAGTCATAATGATAGTAGTCGTCGTCATCGTACTGGTGAAACACATCGTCGTAGTCATAGTCGTAATACTCACAATAATACCAGTATTATTGATACAACTCGTAAACATACTAGTAGATGTAGTGGTGGTGGTGGCCAGAGCGTGAGAAATCTTGCTTGTGGCCTGGTTCGTAGTACTCACACTCGTGGAGGTCGTGTATTCGCGGCCGCAACGGTCGGCGCACCCTTCAAAGTGTCGTGGCCCCATCGGGAGCTCCACCAAAGGCCCCAGTGGCTGCGTTCGCATGTAATTCCCCCCTGTCTCAGCCCACCCCTCACGCTTCGCGGCCCCATTGGGAAGTCCACCGAAAGCTCCACCGGAAACAATATTCTGCTTCCGACAGCCTCCCGCCGGGGAGGAAAACCCGACTTCTGGATTCCTGGGAAGCGACGCCCTTTCTGGAACGCCTTGCCCAGAGACGAGGAAGACCAGCGGGGACACTGTGCAGAAGCCAACCTCTGTGGATGACCCTGGAAGCCCTGGAGGACCAGAAGGGTCGACGGCGTCCCAAGACCTCCATCCTCGATCTTCTGTCCCCGAACCTCGGCCAATTAACGTCGTCGAGCCTCGACCTCGATCCTCGGTCTTGGACACCCAAACTATCCGGGATAGACCTGGTTCGGGTCGGGCCCTGCCCCCGTATGATCTGGGAAAACCGTGGAACGGCGGCTTGATCTGGAAAAACTAATGTTTCAAGAATGTGCAGAACAATATCTACATGGGACAAACTGCGACCCAAGGAAGCTCGACTTGAGTGCAATCCAGCCAACTCCGGCGCGAAAGCGGGAGGCCCGAATCAGGACATATCCCTGATTACCACCTGCCCTGATAATCAGGAGCTCTGACCTTAGTGAGCCGCGGAAGCAGCAAGGCCGTTTTGTCAACGTTTTCAGAAAACTGCCTCACGGTACAGCAGCGGCGATCCGAAGCGGCAGCAAAAAACGGTTCCGAGATGGGAGCTGAAACTCGAATCAGGAAAACCATGGCTCCGACGGAAGGGCCCCGCATGAGCATCTGTTTGGCTTGCCCTTCGCCCTTCCCTCCTCGCCCTGGCGGACACCCTCCTCTCGCCCTCTGCTCTTCCCTCTCCTCCTCCTCCTCCTCCTCCTCCTCCCCCGCCTCCTCCTCCTCCTCCTCCTCCTCCTCCTCCTCCTCCTCCTCCTCCTCCTCCTCCTCCTTATATTTCTCATCCTCCTCCTTCTATTTCTCCTCCTCCTCGTCGTCCTCATCCTCCTCCTTCTCCACCTCCTCCTCGTCGTCGCCCTCCCCCCATCCCTTCCCGCCCTCATCCTTCCCTTGTTTCATCTCCGCGTGCCCCCCCAGTTCCCCCTGGTCGGGGCAAGCAACTAGATTTTCCTCGGCGCCGCCGCCGCCTCGGCCAGCGCGCGCGCGCGCGTTTGTCGGCGGCTGGCTCGCGCAGACTTTGGGACAGCCCCGCAGGCCATGCTTTTTGGGCAACCCCGCGGGCCGCCGGGGCGCGGGGGCAAGCCGTCGGGACAACCCCGCGGGCCAAACCGCTGGGAGAACTCCGCGGGCCTCTAGCTGCGCGCCGCAACGCTCAGGCGGGAAGCGGCACGAAGCCAAGCTCCGCGGCGAGCTGCTCGGCCTCGTCCCCGGAACTCTCCGTTTTCTCGTCAAACTCCCGGAGCGCCGTCCGCGGGGGCGCCGACGGCCCGCGCTCCAGGATGTCTCGCGGGGGCGGCCGCGGGATCAGCATGTTCCGCATGCGCGTGGCGCGGGGGAACATGGCGTAGAGTTGCAGCCACCGCTGCTCGGGTGACAAGCCCGCGCGCCCAACGTCCTCACCCCTGGCGCAGTCAATGGCGACGCCCTTGCGTTGCGTCTGGTCCTGCGACAGCGTGGAGGTCAGGTAGGGCGCGTGCGTCGGCGTTGGCCCCGAGCGGCGCGCGACGTGCGTTCCCGAGCTCTGCCACGTGAGCTCCTGCTCGCTGGGCCTGAACATCAGCAAGCTCCTCGCCCGCGCCTCGGCCTCGCCGCCGTCGTCAGCGCCTTCGAATCGGCGCCCTGCAGCAGCAGCTCGGCGACCTTCTTGTAGATCGGGGGCTTCTTGAAGCCGTGGACCTGCCGCCAGATTCCCTGCTGTAGGTAGCGGGGGCGAAAGAGCTGGCCCAGCCCGCGCTCCTCGTGCTCCCGCTCGTCGTCTGGGTGAATCTCGATGGACACGATGGTGGCCCGTTGCTCTCGCGCGAGCCCCAACTTCTTCTTCAGCACCTCCTACACGGCCGTGAACCGAACCTCCATGCCGACGTGTGCCAGTAAAACGCCGTGAATGTCCCCCGCACTGTGCATGTTCGGGACGTTCAGGAAGCGCCGGCCCGCGTCTGGGTCGCCTTGAATCGTGCTGCATGCATCCACGGCCTGCAGGAAAACGAGGGGCACGCCCGGACGCCGCGCGTCGCGACGACCGCACTCGGATTATCAACG